GGGGTGAAGAGAGAAGCAAAGAATACTTAGAAAAGGTATACACTAAATTGGGGGAAAAAAAAGGCATTTTATTCTAAAACAGAAGCATTCCCTTTTGGGATTTTATCTGTATAAATGATAGCAACATATTTATATTGGTACGAGTTATGCTAGTAAAGTCATCTGTACGTATTGGAGCACGTAGCATACCTACCAGTACCAATCTTAGCCTCTTGTGTGACTAATACACAATGGATCAGTATACAATTGAAAATTGAACATTAAAAGAGGCATTGAGGTCAGAAAACCAGTTATTCTTCCCTAGTTTCAACAACAACCTATTTAAGCCAAAATAGTACAACATTAATTCAGCCCATTTATATCGGGTTTGCCATGGAAATATAGACAGGTCTATCAGTTCCATCACAGTTGCTTGGGGAATGCCAGGAAGCCGGATTAACTGAAATGTAAGACTGAAGCTTCTCTATCAATGGGAAATACTGTAACTTTGAAATAATTATTCTTGGGCTGCAATGGGTCTTGGGGGGGGGGGAAATGGGAGAGTTTTGCTTCCAATCAACTCTTTCTCTGGCAAGCTGCTACATAAGTTAGTAGAGGTCTGAAGTGGTCCAGAAGACTGGAATAGAACTGTAATCCCAGGAGAAAAAAAGGTTAATGAACAGCGTGCAGGCAGGATGTCAGAGATACAGATAAGTTACAGACAGCTACTATACGTTCTCTTTCTCCTCATGATTCTGTGCTTTAACTATATGGCTCTGCCTCCCAGATTTGTCCCACAAATAACTGTCTTGAGGGTTGTTTTTTTCTTTAAAAAAAATAAAAATCCTACAAAACTCACAACAAAAAACACCCTCCAACATCCTTCTTTAAATTAGCATTTTAGCAGCCTACTACTTTATGGTCAGTACTCAAGAACCTGGGTTTGCAATCAGTATGAGCTGATCTAAGACCATGTGGCTGCTGAAATGAATCTGAGGCAAAGGAGGGTGTAGGAGAAGCAGAAGGAAAGAAAAAGGGGTAAGGCTGTTCCATAGCACCTTCAGCCACGTGATCATAAAAGCAGCCATAGGGGGTCAACCAAAATCTACCCTACTTTAGGAACCCGTCTCCCACAGCAGTCAAAAGTGGGTTTCTAGGGAAGAGCATAAGAACTAGGGAAGCAAACACGATGCTTTCCCCAAATACGCTACCAGCCTCCAGCCGTTTATGTCTCAGATTCCCCAAGCTGAAGGTGCTTTCTATGTACTCAGTAACCCTTAATGGATTTCCTTCCCATTAGTTTCTCCAGCCTCCACCTCATATATACATTTAAAACTGGACTGAATCATGTTTCACGTGAAGAAAGACTGTTATAACAGTGCAGTAACAGATGTTGTCATTCAAAGATATGATCAAGGAAAACATTCTCCAGACCAACTGCTATATCTGAGGAAAAAAAGGCAACATAAAAAAAAAAACACACACTGCTTCTTTAGGTTTGAATGCTTCTTCCATTGCTTTGGTTAAGGGTCCCTATTTGCTCCCATGATTGTTATTTCTGAAAGCTGTAGCCTCCAGGGATTATTCAGCGACTTCAGCATTATAGAAACGTTGCTGTTACGTGCAAACTTGCCCTAGGGTAGTTCTTAGCCTATTATTTGCCAGAAAACTCAATCTGAATGCTCCTATTATTCAAAAGAAGGATCATATGTATTAACTGCACAGCAGTATATCAATAAACAAAAAGCATATCCTAAGCCGCCTTTCTTTTTTCCTCCTGAAAGAGGAATGGCTCTCATTATCTGATCCTCACCACTAAAAGAGAAAGACTGATACTCTTTCTGGGCTTCCTAAGACAGTTGTGACTGAAATAGGACTATTGCCACATCCTGCAGGCTCGGTCTTCATACCAAAAAATTATCAGGATGTTAGAATGGACAAAGTGTTTCATCTGTGACAATTGATTCAACATCGTAACAGCAGATGCCAGAACACTGACTCAAACACGTATGCATCTAATTTTGGTTTACAGAGCAGAACCAAGCTTAAAAGAATAGCTGAATATCTCTATTACATCAAAACCCAATTTAGTTTCTTTTGAAAGCATGGGAGCAGGAAACTGCCAATCAATATAATAGGTCAGTGCTCTTTTCAAATGTGGTACATGCACTTAGGCCTTTCTACAAATCACGAACAGATTAAGTCAAACACGAGGTTGTTCACATGTGTCTTTCGTACGAACAACTACATCCTCATTAGGTAAGGAAAAGGCACGGACATTTAGCTTAATATTTTTCCAATGTGACACACCCTCCCCAGTAAACTGGAAACATACAGATATTCTGCGATATACTTGACGCTTCCTTTGGTCCATCTTCTGGTGCTTCTGAGGACGACATTGGGTCTGCAGCAGCCTGTGTGAAACAAATTCAAAAGGAGGCTGGGAATTATAATGAAGTGTTTTCATACATCCTTCCCCTTGTGCGTCTGCTTGATGTGAACCTACATATAACATTCATATACATATAATACATAAGTATATGTACATATGTATATATACACACACATATAATTCAGGCAGCTAAATTCAAGCAGTGTCAGAGTTCAAAACAGGTGTAGCTTTTCAACTGTTTTTCCTCATAGCTGCATAGGTATGCTAAAGAGCATATTAAAACTGAACATTTCAAGTCTATTTCAAAAAGATAATATTTATACCTGACAGTTTAAAAAAAAATCTGACTCTAGAATAGAATAAATTCTCTCTAACAACATGACACAATTTTCTGTGCTGGAAATGAAAGTGTGCACAGATGATAAAAATATTGCCACTTCTCAGATGGCATGTTTTATTTAATTACCAATCAGTCAGCATTAGACTGTCAAGAGTCTGGCAACATGAATCAGCACTCACAAGAATACATACATCCATTCAGAAGGAGTCTGATTTAATATCTCATTGTTACGAGCGTAAGGTAATTATGCATACATAATAAGCGTTAGGTAACTATGCATACATGCAGGCTCAATTTTATAAAACTTACGCACATATTGACTTTATACACATCAGAAATCAAAGTCAAAAGGATGAGAAGTCTGTATACTTTTTACCCCCACAACAGATTAGAATTTAGTTGAAAAGACTTCCAAAGATTGACTTTTAAACAAAAACATTGAAAGAATATAAGGCAGGTCTTTGACTAGCAAAATCCTTCTTACTCATAACTAACATACAAGTTTTAAAAATTTAACACAGAATCCAAACATTTTCACTTATTCTGCCTAGGGTAAATCAGTCATCCAAGCTGTGGAAGTACAGTTAGTGCAGAAAAAAAAAAAGAATTAAGAAGCAGGGAAAGCCCAACTGCAAGCTATATTTAAGCAACTGCATTAATTCAAAGTTCAGTCAGGATGATTCTTGTTAAAGAATTCCAGATTTTCACAAAGTTAAGTCACAAAGTTAGACACAGGATGTGAATCCGTAATTGTTCAAGAGCCTTCCAAATGAAAGGCAGTATGAGTCAGCAAGTAGGCAGCCAAACTCCCAAACAACGTCAACTTTTCAGCTACGGTGACTGGTTTATTTACTTTGTACTTAACCTGATTTAAAACAGGACTGTACAAAGCAGCTGTTGAGAACTTTCAGCACAAGTAATTTCTTTTTGTACTCCATTATGCCAGACAGTAATTTTCAGATATCAATTCCCGAGTATCTTACCTTGGTCACACTGAAGGCAAGGCAAAATTTTTCATTGCAATTCATGCAGTAAGACCAAAAAGTACAATTCTACGGTGCAAAGTTTCACACACCCCCAGCAGCATATCATCCCTTTCATTACAAAGCAAACGTCTGTTCATGGACAACTGCAAATTGCAATTACACACACTAATCTAATGCCAGTTAGGCTTTTGTTCACAACATATGGTTGAACTCTCTAGTCCTTGCATAAGCAATTCTAGTCACAAAGAATATTTTGAAAAAAATGTATCAGTTTATAACATACGGAATTAATTCCATCACTTACGCTGGCTTTGTCATCATAACATTGAAGTGGGAAAAGCACTACGGAACACATTAAGTCTGCCATTCCCTTCTTTTTTAATTAACTAACAGATGATACATGAACCTACATTCTTAACTTTCATAGTACAACTTCATAAACTCAGGCTATTAGACAGGAAAAGGTTTTGAGATAAACGGAGATGAAAGGAGAAGAAGAGGAACAGAAAGCGTAGAAAAAGGCACTTCTGTTTAATTCAACAAGGAGCTTAAACTATGCACAGTGCAAGCATCCATACACAATCAATTGTGTAGTAATCACAAGACAATTTTTCCTGAAGGTCTAAACTCACAGGTTAGACTGTTTTGCACAAATCCTCACTTGCAAATAAATTAACACAAAAAAAACCCCATAACATTTCTAGCTCTTGCAATTGCAGCCGAAAAGAACCCTGAAAATAGGTATCTAAAAGCATCAAAACAACAAAACTCAAAAAGATCCCTATTTTAAAAGGGGGCTCACATTGGTAGCCTTGACCTTTCACTTTGGAGGCCTTCCCTAAGCTCAAGCTTAGGGACCTGAATGAGTTCGAATCTTCAGCTTTCCTATAATTCTACTGGAAAAACTTCAACTCCAAGTCCTACCTCAGGCTGTTGTTCCTCTTGCATCCCTGGAATGCAGGCTTATTTTCACCAATCACACAAGAACTGCAAAAAGTAAAAGGAAGAGAAGAGAATTAAAAATTAAGGGCAAATACCAGAATATTTGTTTAATAAGAACTGCAAGAAAAAAAGCAGAGGTGTGCATCTCTACCATTTCTTTGATAAAAGCTGAAATAATAAAAGCAGCAGACCAGATGTATACATGTCAACTTTTCAACCCTGCTGGGTGGAAAAAAAAATATATATACACACACACACACACATACATACACACACACACACTTGCAAGGTAAAACTAACCTGTCTCATTAACCCAATTTTTGGGTTGGCTCTAAATGCACACTAGAGACATGTTTTCCAGACATACCTTGATAAAACAGGAACGGATTTCACGGGAATTCAGAATTCGCCATATCTGCTGCCTAACATTCTGCAAAAACACCATTTTTCTCATAAGCAATCTGAAATACAAGTTGGCCAAGGAAAAGGTTTCAGCAACAACAACAATCTTGCTCAGCCAGATCAAGTAGTTCTGTCTTGTCCACAATGTAATCTATATTAAGACAATTTTTAGGCAAATTTTAGGAATCTTCTCCTGTATTTCTGGGACTTCACCACTGCAAGGAATAGGAAAGTCACCTCAGCCCTAACACTTATCCAGGGGGCAACACACATTAGAATCTGGTCTGTCTCATGTTATCGTGTGTAAGGTTACAAATACGCTGGGGACAGATCATCAGGAAGTTCGCATCTGTATAAAAGACCCTGAGAATCAGGTTTTCAAACCCTTGCTGAATGCTTCCTTATCTTGGTTTTAAGATTCCTTCCTTGTACATATACTTAAAATACTGAAGTTATGCCTGAAACTTATAGAGTGCTCTGAATTGACTTCAGCGGTATTCTAAGAGATGAAGAAATGGCAAAAGTTAGTGAAGTAATGACTAATACTCTGCTTATTGTTACCGCTATCCCACTAAAATCAAAACACTCATAAAAGACAACACTACTACAGCATTTTGCGTTTTATCCCTCTGACCCACTTCACCGTACATGCACACAGCACTCTGTTACACCACCAATCACATTTCCCTGCGTGTGCTGGGCAGCCTCACGCACACCAATGACACCTTGCCTGGTTTTACCAGATTTCACCCTTCAACCTATCTGTCTACCTGAAGACATAGTATGCGATACCTTACCAAGTCACCTTGCCTTTATTCCAAAAGGAGTTGTACTGCTTTCTAGCTGTGCTTAAAATAGGTTTCTATAAAAATAGAATATTCGCCTGGGCAGCAAGAAATGTATCACTAATTCAGACAAGTGATGCATCTCTCTCTACACTTGTACAGTGAGGCTTCAACAATTCACATCCAAGCATCCACTTACTGTGGTCACGCAGCAAACTGGAGATCACAGCTGCAGTTTAGACAACACAAATCCAAGGAGAGTAAAAGCCTAGTCTCTTTGGAGACAAAATCCCCAAGAAATCCAACAGAGCTCTGCACCCCACGCAGGCAACAACTACACACATAGCTCTCAAGCTGTGAGGCAAGCTACCTTGTTAAAGTAAGAACTACATAGTAAGAACAGTAAGAAGTTCAGTAACAGATTATTTGTCCAAATACATGCAAGAATTCTGCGCACACACAGCCAAAAAGACAACTTACATTTTCACATTACGTATTGGTTTTGCTACAATGCACAACACAAATTTTAGAAGAGCAACCTTGCCTTCTCCTTTGTAAGTAGTCTAGTCCACGAAACCTGGATGTCAGAGAAGGCTGAAACGGCAGGTAAATCTGAATTGCTGCTCTATCTGCTTCAGTGTCATCACGATTTATTTGTGTTGTGGGCTACTCTACAGAAGCACAGCAAAAGGGCAGCCCTCCTCCAAGGCGGCCAGCCTGAACCAACATGTGCTAACCTCATGGATGCTGCAGGCCTAGTGGCTTCACCACAGTTTTCTGGTGGCAGTGTTAGCTTAAGCGAATCCAATGCCCAATTTAATGCTGCCCTGTCCCTATTACACTGGCTTAACTACTTTTGGGGTTAGGCAAATCAGAGTGGGAAACAGATTCGGGTTAAAAGAAAATAACTCTTCTTTCTTTTCCCCTATGAACGCATTTTAAGCTCAGCTACAGTTGACCAAATAGTTGCGCACACAACTGCCAACCAAAGTGAGCGGACAGCACGGAATCTATTTGCTTCAGCCAACACTGTCCTCTGAAAAAACAATTGTCCAACTATAGCCTCAATCAGAGACGTACAGGCACCCAGATAGATACTCAACTCTGAACTTGGTTCTCTATCTGTTTATTTATATGCAAAATACTGAAACATTTTTCTGTCAGTGAATTAGCTGACCTAAATACAAACTGAATTACTAAGTCTGTTTGAAGGCTTGCCTCAGTTTGAAAAGTCTCTCTCTTATCTATGGGAATGCTACTAAAAATAGTAAACTGCAAGTTTCAGTTAAAGATTAAACTCCTATACAGAAGAACCAAATAATTTTCCTCCAAGTCAAATTTTAGACACCCTCACCACCACAGAGCAGTGGATGTGCCCAATGTTGGAGACAGCTCTGAAGATACTCATGCTAACTAGTATTCCACTTTTTATCTGACCTGTACAACCTTTGGAGAAAACAAAGCGGTTCAATGTGATTCCTAGTTCCATCACAAAGGGGTTCAAATCTCTGCAAGGCACCCACTGCACAATACTGTAAAATTTAGATGAGGCACTAGGTAGCCACATCTATAGGCAAGTCCGTCACCAATTTCTTCCAGAAGATCTTGTTGTTAGCTGCTTAGATTTGTCAAAGTTCAATCAGAGGTGCAATTTCCCATGCAGAAGACCTCTTCCCGAAATTTTTTTTCCTTATAACATGCTTAGGAATTCACGTTATTCATTCAACATTAAGACAATTGTTGAAACTGGCTGGAATCTAAAAGCTGACAGAAAGATTGCCGCATGTGTTAAAGCTAGCTTGCACTTGCTTATTCAATGTGATGGGCAACAGGCAGAAAACAGACTAACACCAGAGCACAAAGTCAGGAGCTGGGTGCCCAGCACCCTCACCAACAACACAGGAGAAAGCAGGTGGGAACTAGATGGACACCTTAGACTCCAGATTGACCTAGCTATCCCACGTTCAGAAGTCACTGTCGCTTGTAGATCTATGTACTCATAGAAGATACCCACATGCAACAATACTTTAAATATGAATCCTGGGGCCTCTGAGAAAGGATTAATTGTACTTCCCATTTTACAGATAAGGAAGTGAAGCACTTGTATCTGTATGGACACGGCAGAAGGGAGCACAACTGCCAGCACAAGCTTGTTGATCCAGCTCTTGAGGGCCACCAGGTCCTGAAAAATTTCCAGGCAACCTGCGTTCAAGCATTTCCAAATTTCTCAGTGCTTGATTTTTCAACCTTGGAGAGGGTGGGAGAGGTTGTTTGGTTTTGCTTTCAAGTCCAACTTCCTAAAGAAATGAGACTAGCTAATAAGGCTGTCTGTGTGTCTCTCTGTCTGTGCCTGCTAACCTACAGGTGAATTTTAAACAAATCTGGCAGGGACATAAGAGTCTCAAAGTTGTTAAGTGGTTACATCAGGTCTGCACAGCATTGCTTCTCAGGGGGAAAAAAAAAGATTACTGAAGATGACACTAATATGTGTGTGTGCATTTAAAAAAAAAAAAAAAAAAAAGAGGTGGTGGACAGAACCTGCCAGGCAACTGAAGGGAATTCAACCACAAGTTGTAAAGCCACAGGCAAAGTAAGCTGTTCTGATAATTATTTTTTGTATTTCATTATATCTATCTATAGGTCACAACATCATAAAACCTTGAATTCTACTTACAATGAGATTTGGCATGAAAAACTAAAAATCAGTCAAATCCCTCTTCTCCAACTACCTCAAAGGCCTGCAACGGTCTTCATGAGATCATACATGAAAAATCTTAGATATGACAGCAGATTTCTTTCAGAGAAAGTGGGAGATGCGGCTTCTAGGCTCCTCTGAGGACCAGATATTAGAAAATATTTTTGTCCTCTTATCTCCCAGGAGATTGCCTTAATCTGTCAT